TGGTTAAATGGGAGAAGAGTTTGTTTTATATACCTTGTGTACCCACCCTGCCCTGTAATGTCTATAATCATGAAGATGGAATAAATTGTAACATTTAGTTTCAAAAAAAAACCCAAAAAGCAAACCCTCATATATATACAAAAATAAAATTAGGGGCGCCTGGGTGGCTCAGTCGTTGAGGTCTGCCTTCGGCTCAGGTCATGATCCCGGGGTCCTGGGATCGAGCCCCGCGTCAGGCTCCCTGCTCAGCGGGGAAGCCTGCTTCTCCCTCTCCCACTCCTCCTGCTTGTATTCCCTCTCTCACTGTGTCTCTCTCTGTCAAATAAATAAATAAAATCTTTAAAAAAAAATAAAAAAATAAAAAATAAAATTAAATACATTGAAAGGATAGAATATAACTGTAACTATGAAAACTTAAAAAGACTTAAACGAAAGAAAAAGAAGAAGAAAAAAAGAGTATGATCAGACAGGTGAAGAGAACATAGCAATACACTAGATTATGGGTGTTAGTTATTTTGGTCTATTTGTAGATGATAAAGCCCATCGGTTTATTCCTTTATGGTAACTACTTTTGGGGTCCTGCTTAGGGTAGTCCATGATTTTATATATATATTCACTTTTTTTTTTTTTTTTTAGGGAGGGAGAGGGGTGGAGGAGGGGTAGAGAGAGAGAGAGAGAGAGAATCTTAAGCAGGCTCCACGCCCAGCACAGAGCCTGATGGAGGGCTCAGTCTCAGAACCCTGAGATCATGGCCTGAGCCGAAATCAAGAGTCACTTAACTGAAAGAGCCACCCAGGTGCCCCTATATATATATATTCATTTTTAATTGCACAGCATAATGGATAAGAGCACAGACTCTAGTGATAGACTCATTGGATTTGACTCTTTGGATTTGAATTTCGGTTCTGCCTCTTGCTGTGCTCTTAGGCCAGGTACTTACCCTCTATGTCACAGATTCTTATTTGTAAAATAGGGGTAAAAGTAGTATCTCATGGGGTTGTTACAAGGATTGAAACAGAATTTGATCTGAAACATAGTAAGCATGATATGTGTTAAATAAAATTATAAATACTGTATTTTCTTTGAATATTTATGTTTTATTTTTCTACATTTCAAACTTTGTTACTTGGTTTAAAGTAGGGATGTAACTTAATTATTTTTGAAATGATTAGCATATCAAGGCACTATAAAGTAATCCATCCATATCTCGCTCTCTTGAATTGTCATATTTATCCGATAATTAGGATTATCCCATTGATCTGTTTTTTTGCTGGAACTAAGAAATGGATCTTTAGCTTTAAATTCTGACCTAGGTTTGCATCCTGGCTCTGTTGTGTCACCTTGGGGATATTACTTAATCACTTCTTAAACCTCAGATTTCTCAACTGAAAAATAGAAATAATTCCTATCTTAATAGATTTTTTAAAAAGATTTTATTATTTATTTGACAGAGGGAGACACAGCAAGAGAGGGAACACAAGCAGGGGGAGTGGGAGAGGGAGAAGCAGGCTTTCCACTGAGCAGAGAGCCCAATGCGGGGCTCGATCCCAGGACCCTGAAATCATGACCTGAGCCGAAGGCAGATGCTTAACGACTCAGCCACCCAAGTGCCCCTATCTTAATAGATTTTTGAGGGTATTATATGAGGGGAGTGTCTGTTACATGTCTGGTATATAATAGCTATTCAATAAATGTTAGTTTCCTTTCTTCTTTTTTAAAAGTTTGGAGAAAGGAGATAGCTGGTATGGCCTACAATCTACTCTTCAGTGTTTTGTCACTTTGGAAGAACTGCATAGTTCAGATTTAATTATTTTTTAGATATAGGAACTAGGACTCCAAAGATATGTAAAACAGCTAAGGTAACAATATCTCTGTCCCCTCCAGGGACAATATATTAACTGAGAGGATACAATAGAATACATCAAAATTTCTTAACCATGGCGCTATTGACATTTTGAGCTGGGTAATTCTTTATTGTAGGGGACTGTTCCCCAATTGTGACAACTAAACATGTTTCCAGACATCACCAAATGTGATGAGCTAATTTGCCCCTGGTTGACAACCACTACAATATATGAACATAGTGCTGAAGACTACTAGGGAGGAAGTGATAAACTTTTTGGCAGAATTGGGAAAACCTTTTGAGAAATAGGTCATTTTTTTTTCTTTTCTCCAGCTTACTTTATTTTAAGAATACAGTATATAATACATATACAAGATTTTTAAATTAAATTAAATTTACTTTTTTTTTGAAAGTAAGCTGTATGCCCAACATGGAGCTTGAACTCACAGCCCTGAGATCAAGAGTCACATGCTCTATCAACAGAGCCAGTCAGGTGCCCCAAATTTACTTATTTTTATTTGAGTATAGTTGAGAGAAGTAGGTCATTTTAAAAAAATTATTAATTGTGCCCTTTTTAAAAGGATTTTATTTATTCGAGAGATAGAGCAAGAGAGAGCATAAGCAGGTAGGAGGGGCAGAGGGAGAAGCAGACTCCCTGCTGAGCAGGGAGCCTGACACAGGGCTCTATCCCCGGACCCTGGGATCATGACCTGAGCCAAAGGCAGATGCTTAACCAACTGAGCCACCCAGGTGCCCTAATTGTGCCCCTTTTCTATTTCTTATTCTCATTTTCTCTTATTTGAGTTCATTATTAGGTAGACCTATCCATTTATTAATCACCTACTATAATCCAGGTACTCTGGGCTCTGGGACTATAGCAATGAATAAAACTGTTGTGTAGCACCTACATTCTTGGGGTGTGGGACCAGACAGGATTTGCTAATGACTTGGATGTGAAAGGTGAGAGAAAATGAGTTGGGATCATTCCAGAATTTTCAAAAGAAGTGGATAAATTATGTTGCCATTTACTGAATGAGGTCAAGTAGTTGTATTGGTGTGAAGCTGGGGGAAATGAGAGTTGTGTTTTGAACATGGTAAGTTTGAGGTGACCACTATAAAACCAAAGGTAGATGCCTAGCTGGCAGTTGAGTAGATAGCACCTGCATCAGGAAAGAGGTTGAGCTCTGTTGCTTTAGGGATTAAAACTACTTCAGCGTGAGTAGGAGAGTGTTTAAATGTGTTGTGTCCTCTGCAAATGAGGACAGTAGTTGCTCTTATTGATATAGGTCAGATGGCTTTACTCACCTACCTAGTGTTGTTAAGGTACTTCATTCTTATTACCAAACTGCTATTGTTTGTTATTTGTGGAGTAGTTACTATGTACGTAGCCTGTGGTTGTGTTAAGAAAGTGCTGGACAGGGGCACATGGCTGGCTTAGTCGGTAGAGCATGCGGCTCTTGATCTTGGGGTTGTAAATTTGAGCCCTGTGTTGGGTGTAGAGATTACTTAAAAATAAAATCTTTCAAAAAAAAAAAAAGTGCAGGACATTGTTCTGACACCTACAGAGCTTGTCATGTAGTTGGGGAGCCAGACATAGAATTGAAAAGTTAATTGATGATGCTAGTATTCAGGCTTAAGGCAGGTTTAAGGATAGTAGCAGTAGTTTGGAGAAGAAAGATCTGAGAGATGGGTACTCCTGTACTAAGAATGTGAAGGCAGGGCTATGTCAGATTTACCTCCGAGTCACCAATACCCAGCAGTGGGAAGCTAGGAGCAGAATGGGATTATTATGAAAATCAAATGATATAATGTTATTTGGAAATGCTTTCTAAATGATAAAACATGATATAAAGGTTAATTTTTGTCATAATCCTTAAAATTAAAGAATCCACAATTAAGTTAATAGTACTTCTTTTCTGGGACACCTGGGTGGTTCAGTTGCCTAAACATCCGACTCTTGGTTATGGCTCAGGTCGTGATCTCAGGGTCGTGAGATCAAGCTCACATCAGGCTCCACGCTCAGCAGGGAGTCTGCATGAGGATTTTCCCTCTCTCTGCCTCTTCCCCTGCGCATTGCGAGTGCTCTCTCTCTAAAATAAATAAATAAATCTTTAAAAAAAAAAAGTACTTTTATTCTGAGGAACCAAAATAAGGAAGAAACAGTCGTAGAAGTTATTAGAGGTGACAGATATGTCCCTTTAGTTCTTGCTGAACTTACTCATTATGGTTCAACTGGCATAGAACAAAGAAAAATGGAAGATTGGATAATTAAAGCCTACCCTACTTTTCCCTTAGTTGCTGGGAATATGTCTGGGATTATGTATCTCAGTCCTCCATTTCTGGAATATTTGCAGCTGGGTGTTTTTTAATAAAAAGGGTATGTATGTATGCATGTGTATGATCGTTGCTTATGCATGAAGTGATTGCTAATGTTGAAACTGCATAAATTAATCAGAATTTTTTGTTACTTATTCTAAAATACACACATACACACAATTAGGATTTTATAGAGGGAATGTGAAGTAGTAAATTGGAAACATCTTTGCTTTTCCTTGAATCCTTCTGGTGCATTTTAGTTGACTGTCTCTTGTGTATGTGGGTTCCTAAGAATCAGGTATCTTAATTTTAAAATATCAAAAGAGGGGTGCCTGGGTCCCTCAGTCGGTTAAGTGTCTGCCTTCGGCTCAGGTTATGATCCCAGGGTGCTGGGATCGAGCCCCGCATCGGGCTCCCTGCTCCACCGCCGGGAGCCTACTTCTCCCTCTCCCTCTGCTTGCTGCTCCCCCTGCTTGTGCTCTCTCTCTCTCTCTCTCTCTCTCTGTGTCAAATAAATAAAATCTTAAAAAAGAATTTAAAAAAATAGCGAAAGATGGAAATGATACGGGGATAGTAAAAACTTTATAGTTGAAGCCGGAGACTATAGTTTATTACAAGAACATCTTTTTGTTTTGAGAAATAAAAGATGTTGGCGCTAGCCTTGTTAGGAGATAGGTGATGACACCTCAATCTTCAGGTGAAAACACATGTCCTTGGTGCTGGGAAGCATAGGCTTGAAGAAGTCTTGGAGGAGTGTGAAACAGGGGAGATCTTTAACATATTTCAGGGAAAAAAGAGCATTTCATTATTTATAACAGCAGTTATTTTGTCTTTTGAACAGATAACATGCCTGGACATTTCCAGTGGAGGCGGCCTTGGTGTGTCTTCTAGTACTGATGGAAGCATGAAGATCTGGCAGGCTTCCAATGGCGAGCTCAGAGTAAAGGCTTTGGATTTGCTTTTAGGGTCTTATACATGAAGGGTGGTCTGGGAAGCCTTAGACTAGGTCACAGAAAGAAGAGTGGTGCATTCTAAATTTATAGGACCACCACACTTCAATTGATCTTTGTTCTCCCATTTGTTAATCTCAGAACCATCCTCAATCTTAGTGATTTGCCGGAACAGATTGGGGCTGAAACAGTGGAGAAGCCAGGCCAGTGAATGTCTAAGTGGGTGGTCTCTTGGTATGAACTGCCTTCAGTGATCAGCTAACAGATTAGGTAGGCTATTGTACTGATTATATGGCTGAGCCCCTCCAACTTACACAGAGGATTTTAAGAAGAGGTGAGTAAAAGAGTCCTCAAGCCTCCTTAGCTCCTTATATGTAGTACTAGACTTAAGGAGGCTGTGAGAACCTTGGAGTTCAAATCCATAATATCTGTAGCCAGAGCTACACAAAAGGGAGTAAGTAGCTCTTAGAACACTACCTGGTATACAGATGAGCTAAAGAGATCCTTTTGGACCTCCATAGTTTTAAAACCCAGCATGTAGATATTTAAGGGACCAAAGATATGACAGGTAAGAGAATATCAGGGGATGGACAAGAGAACTAGCATGGAATTTTCTTTTGTTTTTCCAGAGAGTATTGGAAGGACATGTGTTTGATGTGAATTGTTGCAGGTTTTTCCCATCAGGCCTTGTGGTTCTGAGTGGGGGAATGGATGCCCAGCTGAAGATCTGGTCAGCTGAAGATGCTAGCTGTGTGGTGACATTCAAAGGTCACAAAGGAGGTAGGAAGGATGATTTCTCCAAAAGGCTTCTCTAATGATCCCCAGAGACAAATCAAAAAGGTAGAAACAGAAGCTAGTTATCTACAAAAACACAAATAATTCCTCTAACTGACCATTTAAATGAGCTGTTTCCTCAAGGATTAGAAATTCCTTTGACACTGAGTCTTGTTATTGCTATCTAGAACTAACTGCTATACACAGATAGTTGTTTTCCACAGTTGATAAGTGGAAAAAAAAAATCCTTCCCCAGAAAACTAAGTCGTCCAGTGTTCTATCTGCTTGTGTGCTAGGAGAGAGAGAAATGTGTCCCAACATTTTCTCATTATTAGTCCTTTGAAGTGATAGTAAAAGCTGGGTGGCAAATGGCTGCATCACTAGATATCAAAGATGGAGCTTGGTACTACTGACTGTCAGTTCTTACGGATTTAAGTCACAGTTCAGATTTTAAAATGGATTAGCCATATAGCCAGTTGATAACAGGTTATAGAGACAGAATGAGAACATTTTCCCTTTGTAACTGGTTGGTTTGTGGGGGAAAAATTATAATTTAGAGATGTTTTAACCTTAATCGGAATGTTAAAAAGGTGATAAATGTTACTCTTATTTTACAAGTTTGGATATTTTTGAAAAAGCATTAATATCCCCAAATAATTCCTTACCTTGTTCCCTCCTTTGGAATCATAGTACACATCATCTATGCCACTCATTTGAGAATTAATTATGTATTGCCCTATACTTAAGGTATTTAAACTAGTCTTTTGCTTTGTGTACCTGACTATATTATAAATAACTTGCGTGGTTGAGCTTTAAGTTTTAATATTTCTTTATAATGATTTGTTAGGTTACATACAGATCATCTAGCAAATACATGTTAACCTTAGCAAGGTTATTTCTTTCTTTTTTTTTTTTTTAAAGATTTTATTTATTTAACAGAGAGAGACATAGTAAGAGCAGGAACACAAGCAGGGGGAGTGGGAGAGGGAGAAGCAGGCTTCCCACAGAGCGGGAAGCCCGATGTGGGACTCGATCCCAGGACCCCGGGATCATGACCTGAGCCGAAGGCAGACGCTTAACGACTGAGCCACCCAGGCGCCCTAGCAAGGTTATTTCTAAGACTGTCAGTACACAGGTGCATTGAGAAGGAATAGAAAAGATATTTGGAGCCTTCCTCACATTCAGCCTGAAGAACTGACTGGTCTAAGGAGTCAAAGTGGCCTGCATAGAGGGGGAGTCCAGGAGCCAAACGGGTCTAAAGGAACCCTGAGGTACTCACCTCACATCTGGCCATCCTGAATTTGTGAGGCACAGGGAAGTTTTCCAGTGGAACAAGACATGACTGTGAGCTTAACAAAGTGCATATTCAATGTCAACGCACACTCAACTTAGTAATTCCTTTGGGCGACTGCAGTATGCCCACCATGTGAAAACTAAGTCGTCCAGTGTTCTTTATTTCTTCCTAAGAATACACGTGCATCACTTAGCTTAGAGTGAAGTACATAATGTTTGTCAATCCGATTGAATCTTTATTCATTCTTCGGCCTTACGAGAACGTCCCAGGATGGGGTGGGAGCTTCTCTAGATACTCTAGATATAACAACTCGTGACTTTTCCTTTTTTTTTTTTTTTTTTTGAGAGGAGGAATTTTATTAGGTTGAATAGAAGTGACAAACTGTGGGAGAAATGACATGAAGTCAGATCCAGGCTAATGTCTGTCAGGTCTTGAATGCTCCTGCCCAGGTAGTTCTGTAAAGTAAGGCCAGATTTGGTGTTGCCCGTTCTTCCACAGTACAGAAAATCAAAATTAATCTCTGATAGTTTAGCAGCATATGGGTCACTCCAGCCGAATGAATTCCAAGTTTCGTTGTATGGCTCCTTTTTTAATCTCTTTAGTTACAAAATTTTGAAGCATGTTTATTAGCAAAGGCCATGAACTACATAAAAAATAGAATAAAAATTATTACCTGCATGTATGATCTTTAGTGGTTTCACAAGTGGTGACTAAATAAGAGAAACAGAAGATAGTGAGTGTTGGGCAATCCTCTGGGGTCCCCTCCCTCGTCGGAAGCTTTGTGTGATCACTTTGCTATTGGTCAATAAACCTTGCTTTGCTGCCCCTCCTCCCCAAAAGAAGATAGTGAGTGTTGAAAGTGAACATGGTCTTTTATTGCCTAGGTTAAGTCTTGGCAAGTGAGACATAAAAGAAACCACCAGGAACACTGGACTGAACATAGCCTGATGCTTATTGCAAGGAACCATTAGGACGCTAACAAAGTAGCTCTGTATAAAGATCTTGTGTAAAGGATAAACTTTGGTTAGTTTAATTAAGTCCCTGGCTTTCTTATTGCTTCTAGCATATGAAAATATGGTAGTAAGTGAGACAGTATGTAGGGTGTTTAGGCATGGGATTTGGAGACATGTAAATCTTGGTTTAAATCTTAATTCTTCCACCTATAATCTGTATGACCTCAGAAAGTTGCTTAACCATTCTGAGCCTTAGTTTCCTCATGTAAAATGGGAATAGCAGTATTAAATGAGATGTTGCATGTGAAGGATTTAGCATAATCACTGGTATTATAAGTGCACAATAAATGTTATTGTTCATATAAAATATAAAGCTAAACTTTAATCCCAGGTGGGGGGGTGAGCTTTGTGATGTTTTAACATACTTGTCATATGTGAAAAACAGAAATTGTTATTTCTAATAGAATAGACTAATTCTAATTCTAATAGAATTTTTCCAGTAGCAACAAATATGATCCTAGTTAATATGTAATTGGTTTTCCCTTATATTTTTAGATACATATTTTATGTCAATAAAGAATTACTGTGTTCTTTAACAAGCAGAGATGAGATTTGTGTATGTTTTTAAATCCTTCTGATGAAAAGATAAACTAAAAGTAGTTTTTTTTTTTTAAAGATTTTATTTATTTATTTGAGAGAGAGAGAATGAGAGGGGGGAGGGTCAGAGGGAGAAGCAGACTCCCTGCCGAGCAGGGAGCCCGATGTGGGACTTGATCCTGGGACTCCAGGATCATGACCTGAGCCGAAGGCAGTCGCTTAACCAGTTGAGCCACCCAGGCGCCCTAAAAGTAGTTTTGTCTTTGTAATACAGTAGTCCCCCTTTATCCATGGGGGATACGTTCCAAGACCTCCAGTGGATGCCTGAAACTGCGGATAGTACCAAACCGTGTATATACTATCTTTTCCTATATGTACAAACCTGTGATATGTAACAGGCAAATGGATACTGCGTGGATATGCTGGGTAAAGTGATGTGATTCACATCCCGTGTTTGACCAGAGAAAGTGACACTGTAGATAAGGGAAGACTACTGTATATGAGTCTTCTAAGTAGCTCTAAGGTATACTTTAGTTTGAAGTTTTTAAATTGCACAGGCCATTTAATTAGGTTGGTGGATTTGGAGGTTTATATAATACAATCCTTTGAGTAATAATAATTTAATAATCATAATTATTTCTAATAAGCACCAGATCATTCATAATCTATGAAAACGTTGAGGCCAAATGAAACACCACTGTAGCTGATTGGTTGAGTTTTTTGCTCACCATGGTAGGAAAACTGCTTACATTTGTGGAATAATTTTAGGAGGTCAGGTTGCATTTTCAGCACTTAGGCCATTATTTTCAAACTCCTATATTTTCTTTGAAATAGGATATGCTGCCTCCAAGTAATAGTAGTGCTTCAAGGCTCATTTTTTCTGAGATCTGAGTCGCAGCCATTACTCTTTCCATGCACAAACACACACACACACACACACACGTGCATTTCCCCTTCCTCGTATGTGTGTGTTTGCTTCCTAGCAACATTAAACCAGCTTCATATAATAATAAAACTAGGGCACCTGGGTGGCTCAGTCGTTAAGCGTCTGCCTTCGGCTCAGGTCATGATCCCAGGGTCCTGGGATTGAGCCCCGCATCGGGCTTTCTGCTCAGTGGGAAGCCTGCTTCTCCCTCTCCCACTCCCCTGCCTGTGTTCCCTCTCTCGCTGTGTCTCTCTCTGTGAAATAAATAAATAAAATCTTTAAAAAAATAATAGTAATAATAAAACTAGATAATCTTAATAGAGTAAATTGGTTAAAAACATTCCTAGATATATAAATGTTGCTCTATTTCTTATTAATACTTATTTTAGTCATAGTTTCACTTAACATTCTTATTTCCCAGACATTGGCTAGGATGTTTATATGTGATTCAGCTGAATCTTTTCTTGAAGGCAGTGCTTTTTTATCTTGGTTTTTATCTTGAGGACTTGTATCAGTTTGGTTTGATAGCTAAAGCCTTTGTGGCTTCAGGTAGGTCTTTGCTCTGGCAGCTTCTCTTATAAGAGCTGCCTACTACTTTCATAGCTTCTATCTAGAGTAATTTGTCATAGGTTCCAGCTCCTGTAGGGTTCCTCTTTCTTTTATTCTTGTCATCTAAGAGTGAAGAGACCCATATAGTTGCCACCATATTGTAAGAGGGGGTTGGGAGAAAGTAGAGTGCTACTTCCCACTACTTTGTTTTTTCTCTTTCCACCTGTTATTGCCAGGTCAGGGTAGGGGCTCAGCTCACCACTGGACCATCCTGGCAGCACCCTGTTGGGTCTGATCGCTGTCAAGGGTCAAGGGAATTGGACTGCTGCCTCCTGCTTCAAAGTGGGAGTAGGGTAGAAGAGCACTCCCTATTTAGCCTCACTGACCTTGGGGAAGGGAAAGTAGCAGTTTTTCTCTTGCTCTTTGAGTAAATTGCCAACATTTTCTGTTAGGCCACCTCTTTTCCAGGCTTTTGCAACAGACATTTCTTGGATTTGGGTTGTTTTGTTTTTGTTTTAATTTGTGCATGTTTGTTTGTTTTTTTAATCAATTCCTTGTTGGAGGCTTCTGCAGTATCCTATCCAGGATTGTATGGGAAGCAATAAGGAAATCCAGGGAATTTGTTACCCTGTTGTTCTTTAAGTCCTCAGGTCCCTAGGTGACCTTCTTTCCATCCTTCAGTCTTCTTTTTTTTTTTTAAAGATTTATTTATTTGACAGAGAGAGACCGCGAGAGAGGGAACACAAGCAGTGGGAGTGGGAGAGGGAGAAGCAGGCCTCCCGCTGAGCAGGGACCCCGATGCGGGACTCGATCCCCGGACCCTGGGATCATGACCCAAGCCGAAGGCAGACGCTCAACGACTGAGCCACCCAGGTGCCCCTTTCAGTCTTCTTATACTTCCTGTCTTATGTCCAGCTTTTTTTCGGTTATAAGGGGAAGCACCTGGGAGAAATGGGGCTACTGTCTCTTGGCCAGACCAGAAGTCACATCTTTTTTTAAGATTGGGAGATTAATCCTTTCAGTTAGTTCTCAGTGGAAGCAATAAGACAGTGACTTTCAAACTGAACTAAGATGTCTTCTTAATTTTTATTTAAAACACATGTTTTAAAGCCAAAATTAAAACTGAAAATCACTGTTCTAGGACACTCCACTAAGAAATCCAAACCTTTTTCCATCTCTGTCTCTAAGGGCTAGTCTTTGAACTATTGGGAAGCAAGGACTCTGTTCTGTTTTTCTAGCACTTGAACTTGCCCAGCATATAGTACATATCCAGTACACGTTTGTGAAGCACTGGAGTTATTTATGCCGATCCATCTTCTCCGCTCTTGTAGTTCCTTTACCACCCATTCCATCTTAGGGGCTTTTTTTTTCTCTTGCCAGGTATTCTAGATACAGCCATTGTTGATCGGGGGAGGAATGTGGTGTCTGGTTCTCGAGACGGGACAGCACGACTTTGGGATTGTGGGCGCTCAGCCTGCCTGGGAGTCATTGCAGACTGTGGTTCTTCCATTAATGGAGTGGCTGTGGGTGCTGCTGACAACTCCATAAACCTCGGCTCCCCTGAGCAGACGCCAAGTAAGTTGATAACGATATGTTGAGCTTGTTTTGTTTCCTTAGGAGCCTTCAGTGTTTGCCTTAGCTTCTCCTTTTCTTCCTCATCTTTCCTTGCTTTTTGGCTGGTATTTGTATTTTCACCATAAGTTTAATATTTAATGCATACCTACTATGTTTCTATTGCTTTGAATCTACAGAGGAAGTATATGTCATTGTTAACTACATTTGAGTAAGTACAATCTAGTTTAGCAGATGAGACTGATGCCTATAAAAAACAAAAGAATTTTAGCTGAAACAACTTAATAATTCTTAATGCAAGTAAAATAGTTTTGAGTATTTCATATTTTAGGTTAGTGTAGATGAGAAAGGTGTCACAAAGAAGTTGACTTGAACCTTGGAGGATGAATTTGAGTTGAATAGACAAGAATGAGAAGGATGGGAGAATGGGAGCTGTGGGTAGGGCTAGGGGCAGTTGACATTAAAATAGTTTGGAGTTGAAATTGACTGTTGGGTAGAAACATATGTTTGGCTGGGTCAGAGGTTGGATTAAGAGTAGTAGTAGTGGGGGGCTCCTGGCTGGCTCAGTTGGTAGAGTATACAACTCTTGATCTCTGCATTTTAAGTTTGAGCCCCATGTTGGGTGTAGAGATTACTTAAAAAAAATCTTTAGGGGCAGGGCCACCTGGGTGGCTCAGATGGTTAAGTGTCTGCCTTCGGCTGGGGTGATGATCTCCAGGTCCTGGGATTGAGCCCCACGTCGGGATCCCGGCTTAGAGGGGAGTCTGCTTCTCCCTCTCCCTCTGCCTCTCTCCCTGCTTGTGCTCTCTTTGTCTCTCAAATGAATAAATAAAGTCTTAAAAAAAAAAATCTTTAGGGGCACTTGGCTGGCTCAGTCAGTGGAACGTGTGACTCTTGATATTGGGGTTGTGTATTCAAGCCCCATATTGGGTGTAAGGTTTGCTTAAAAATAAAATCTTTGGGGCGCCTGGGTGGCTCAGTTGGTTAAGCGACTGCCTTCGGCTCAGGTCATGATCCTGGAGTCCCAGGATCGAGTCCCACATCGGGCTCCCTGCTCAGCAGGGAGTCTGCTTCTCCCTCTGACCCTCCTCCCTCTCATGCTCTCTGTCTCTCATTGTCTCTCTCGCAAATAAATAAAATCTTAAGAAAAAAAATTTTTTTTAAATAAATAAATAAATAAAATCTTTAAGAAAAGACTTTATTTTTTAGAGCAACTTTAGGTGTACAGCAAAATTGAGCAGAAAGTGCAGTTTTTGGGGTGCCTGGGTGGCTCAGTTGGTTAAGTGTCCAACTCTTAGTTTTGGGTCAGGTTGTGATCTCAGGGTCATGAGATTGAGCCCCATGTCGGGCTCCACGCTCAGTGCAGAATCTGCTTAAGGATTCTCTCTCGGGTGGCTGGGTGGCTCAGTTGTTAAGCATCTGCCTTTGGCTCAGGTTGTGATCCCAGGGTTCTGGGATCAAGTCCCACATCGGGCTCCCTGCTCAGCGGGAGGCCTGCTTCTCCCTCTCCCACTCCCCCTGCTTGTGTTCCTGCTCTCGCTCTCTCTCTCTCTGTGTCAAAAAAATAAATAAAATCTTAAAAAAAAAAAAAAAGGATTCTCTCTCTCCCTCTCCCTCTGCCCCTCCACCCGCTCACACTTGTGCATACACCCTCTGCTCCAGACACCCTCCCTGATTATCAGTTTTATCAACATCCCTCACCAGAGTGGTATATTTGTTACAATTGATAAACCTACATTGACATATCATTATCACTCAAATAATTTATTTTAGGTTCATTTTTGGTGTTGTATATTCTATGGATTTGGACAAATGTATAATGACATGTATCTATTATAGTATCATACAGAAGATTCACTGCCTGAAAAATCCTTTGTGCTCTACCAATTCATCCCTTCCTCTCCTATAACCCTTGGCAAACAATGATATTTTTACTGTGTCCATGATTTTGCCTTTTCCAGAATGTCACATTTGGAATCATAAACTGTGTAGTCTTTTCAGATTGGTTTCTTTTATTTAGTAATAAGCATTCAAGGTTCCTCCATATCTTTTTATGGCTCTTTAGCACTGAATAATATTCCATTGTCTGGATGTACCTCGGTTTATTTATCCATTCACCTGCTAAAGGACATCTTGGTTGCTTCCAAGTTTTGGTGAATATGAAAAAAGCTGCTATAAATATCTCATGCATGTTATGTGGACATATGTTTTCAACTGATTTGGGTTAATTTTGCCCTTGACTTTTGACACACTGTAAGTACTCTCCCGTCTTAAACTTCCCATGTGGGTGTACTGTGGTCCAAGAACTACAACTATTGCTGACCACCAGGTGTTCCCTGAACTGTCTTTGGAATTAATAGGATGAGTCTTTTCCCCAAAGTGTGATACATGTGCAATTAGTGATAAACAAGATAATTTCAGGCAGTACACATCTTTAATAGTTATATATTTAACACGCACACATTTTACTTCAAACCTAATATATCCCACAAATATTACTTAAAACAAGGTTAAGTTTTTTGTGTTTTTTTTTAAGATTTTATTTATTTTTTTGACAGAGACAGTGAGAGGGAACACAAGCAGAGGGAGTGGGAGAGGGAGAAGCAGGGTTCCCGCAGAGCGGCGAGCCCGATGCGGGGCTCAATCCCAGGACCGTGGGACCATGACCTGAGCCGAAGGCAGACACTTAACGACTGAGCCACCCAGGCGCCCCAACAAGGTTAAGTTTTTAAAAATTCGTTGATTTAGGGCACCTGGGTGGCTCAGTTGGTCAAGCGACTGCCTTCAGCTCAGGTCATGATCCCACGGTCCTGGGATCGAGTCCCGCATTGGGCTCCCTGCTCTGCGGGGAGCCTGCTTCTCCCTCTCCCACTCTCCCTGCTTGTGTTCCCTCTCTCGCTGTGTCTCTCTCTGTCAAATAAATAAATAAAAATCTTAAAAAAAAAATAAAATAAAATAAATAAAAATTCGTTGATTTAAAGTAATTTTTATTAAAGATTTTTTAAAGATTTTATTTATTATTTATTTGTCAGAGAGAGTGCGCACAAGCAGGGGGAACAGCAGGCAGAGGGAGAAGCAGGCTCCCCACTAAGCAAGGAGCAGGGAGCCCCATGGGGATTCGATCCCAGGACCCCAGGATCACAACCTGAGCCAAATGCAGACACTCAACTGACTGAGCCACCCAGGCGCCCCTCCATGGGGTTTTTTAAAAGATTTATTTTTGGTGGGGGCAGAGGGAGAGAGAGTCTTAAGCAGACTCCACGCTGAGCACAGAGCTGATGTGGGGCTCGATCTCATGACCCTGAGATCACGACCTAAGCCGAAATGAAGAGTCGGATGCTTAACTGACTGTGCCACCCAGGTACCCCTTCATGGAGTTTTTTTACAGTTAAAGTTTAAATTTAAAATTACCTTTCCTCACTCAGCCTTCCACCATCTACTCACTATTGATTAGATTTTCCTGTTTTATTTCCTTTGTGGAATTCATCACTGTCTGAAAATATCCTGTTTATTTACCTATCCCACTATTTCCTATTTCCACTAGAATTCTTGAGAGTAAGGACCCTGTCTGTATATTACTATTTCCTTAGCACATAGAATAGTGTCTGATACATAGTAGACCCTCATTAAAGATTTGTTTAGTGAATGAATAAATTTCATTTACTCCAGACCGTAAGAGCCTTGAGGTCAGAGACTGTTTTGTTCAACATTGTACCCCTGCTCCTAATACGGTATCATGTCACATTGCAAAGGACTTAATGAAGTAAAAGTTACCCTTTTTATTTTATTTTATTATGTTTTTTTTATTTTATTATTTTTTTTAAGATTTTTTATTTTATTTATTTATTTGAGACAGAGAGAATGAGAGAGAGAGAGCACATGAGAGGGGGGAGGGTCAGAGGCAGAAGCAGGCTCCCTGCCGAGCAGGGAGCCTGATGCGGGACTCGATCCAGGGACTCCAGGATCATGACCTGAGCCGAAGGCAGTCGCTTAACCAACTGAGCCACCCAGGCGCCCTTATTATTTGTTTTTTCTTTTTTTTTTTTAAAGATTTTATTTATTTATTTGAGACAGAGAGAATGAGATAGAGAGAGCATGAGAGGGGGGAGGGTCAGAGGGAGAAGCAGACTCCCTGCTGAGCAGGGAGCCCGATGTGGGACTCGATCCCGGGACTCCAGGATCATGACCTGAGCCGAAGGCAGTCGCTTAACCGACTGAGCCACCCAGGCGCCCTTATTATTTGTTTTTAATTAACTTATTTAGAGGCACCTGGGTGGCTCAGTCAGTTGACCATCTGACTCTTGGTTTCTGCTCAGGTCATGATCTTGCGGTTGTGGGATCAAGCCCCGTGTTGGGCTCTGTGCTCACTGTGGAGTCTGCTTCAGATTCTTTCTCCCTCTCCCTCTGCCCCTCCCCATGTGCACTCTCTCTCTCTCTCTCAAGTAAATAAATAAAATCTAAAAAAATAATAATAACTTATTTTATTAAGTAATCTGTTATCCCTAACATGGGGCTTGAAGTTAGAGCCCTGATATCAAGAGTTGCATGCACTACCAACTGAGCCAGCCAGGTGCCTGAAAGTCACCCTTTTAAATGATCAGTTCTGTGAGTTTTGACAAATGTGTGCAGTCATATAAACAATACAAACAGTCAAGATATAGAACATAATAAAAGTTTTTTTTAAGTTAGTATGTTAATCACTAAAAAGAATTCAGTAAACAGCTATCAGGATCTGTGCTTTCTGGCCCTGCCAGCTGATCAGCCTAGCCCATTGTTGACATGGTTTATCTGTCATGCAGGCGAACGGGAGGTTGGAACAGAGTCGAAAATGCTGCTATTGGCACGGGAAGATAAGAAACTTCAGTGCTTGGGACTGCAGAGCAGGCAGCCGGCAAGTGGTTCCTCTAAGACTTTTGAACTCTGGGGCATCCTGGATCACTCTGATTTTTGGAAAGGGATTTTGGAAACATTTCTGCTTGCTCCCTGTGTTCACCTTTTGAGAAAGCTGCAGGAGTAAGGGGCAATAGAGTGTAATAATTAAGAGCATGGAATTTGGAGTAAGGACAACATTAATGTCCTAGCTCTTCCACAATGGCTGTGATATTTAATAGGTTACTTAACTATTCTGAGCTTCAGTTTCCTCATCACTAAACTGGGCATAGTAGTACTCACCTTGTAGGATTATATGATGAGGATTAAATGCTCTACTTCTTTGTGACCTTTAAGTCACTTTCTCTCTGGGCCTTAGTGTGCTATGTATAAAATGATGAGGTTGTGTAGATTCCCTTCCATATCCAAGGTAACATGAAGCAATTCTGAGTCAAGGACTCATGCATTCAGGGCTCTTGATCAATTAGTGACCAGAATGTCTTTTATGGAAGAATTAGTTGAATTTTCGTCCTTCTGCCTCTGAGGTTTTGCTGGGCACACTGTACTCTTCGTTAAGCCCGGAGTTCCCTGGGATTTGATTTTTAAAATTTCTTTCCAGCTCCTGTCAACCTCACCCAGACAACTTTAATGATTTGGGTTGGCCACAGGTTTTGTATTTTCATTTCTCCTTGTTACTTCATTATTCTAGTGATGTTTCCATTTTCAGAAATGACATTCCAGGAACATCACTCTTTCTGATTGTATCACCTCTGCACTGCTTTTCCTTCTGAAGGGAAATCACAGGTTTTGTTTGTTGGGCCAGGTTTGGTTTTTTTCTTTCCTTTTTAGAATACTTGAGGGAGAAATGATCAGATTGAGCTAATAGTAGAGAGTAAATAAAAATCTGATGATTCCTTTTTTTCAGGCACATGGGGAGAATTCTAATACTTTAAATTGCCGCTTTATTTAAGCTTGTTTCTTTTCCTACATAGAGTCTCCCTTCAAAAGGTTGTCAGCAGTGACATGAAACAAAATTTAAATGTGTGAATTGCAAGTGTTTCTCAAATGGAGGGTTGTAATGAGAAGCGGGAGGAGAAAGATGTTGGGTACTGAGGGTCCTGTGAGTCAGTGTGTTGAGGGGCAGTAGTCTGGAAACTGCCGCCTCTTCTGGGTGTGGTCGTACATACACTGCCGAAGTCCTTGGGGAGCCTCAGGTTCCCAAATTCCTGGGAGGGGCTCCTCCTCAGTCGTTGCTGAGTACTTTGTTTAGATGCAGAGTGCTTAAAGGGAGAAGAAAGAAAATGTCTCTAAAAATAGGAAAATTTTCTTTTTTTTGGTGCCTGTTTATTTCTGAAAACAAATTAATCTTTAAGCAGCCGTTTTGGCTCCTGCTTATTCCCAGGTGTTCCTCTTTGTTGGCTCAGATGGCTTCAACTGCTGCACTTTTCTCTCTGGCTTCTTGCTGTTGGCTGGGACACAGGATGGAAACATTTATCAGCTGGACGTGAGGAGTCCAAGGTGAGTCACCGTTCATTTGCATGATGCAGGTCTTCTACAGAGTGGAAATTTTTATTAGCTTTAACAGTGATTTAGCATGGCATGTAGATGACTGTTGAATCAAGGGTATATTTTTCCATTTATAAAGGTTTTCCGGTGTGAGTTGTCTGATTGTTCTTATTATTCCTGGAATCGTATTAAAAGGTAATTTGATTCATGCTGTCATGATTGTCCTAGTGTAATGATGACTTTGGAATCTAAGCTTAAATAATGAACTAACATTTCCCTTAAAATGATTGTATAGAACTTTTAATTTTAAGGAGCTCAGTAATTTTCTCAGTGGTATTAAATCTGGGTTGGCCTAAGATTGATCATTTTTAGTTCAAGTAAACCAGCTGTGTTTCTTTGTTTGGCTTTGATCATAACCTGTCTGAAACAGGCTTTATTCTGGTCTTAGAGATACCCAGAGAGAATAACACAACCTCTCCATCCTAGGATTTAACTGTTTCTCCATTTCTGTCCCTTCCTCCTTCCATTTCCTTTCTTTTGTTCAGTTGACATTTATTGAATGGCTTTTGTGGGGACCAGACATTGTGTAGGGCACTGAAAAGCAGAAATAAAAGATACAGATTCTGCCTTTGAGGCACTTGGAGTCTAAGAGTAAAGATGGGCAAGTAAAAGATGTTGGTGATACAGTGTGATCGGTGGGCTGACAGGACTCTACACAGGAATTTGAGAAAGCACTGAGAAGAAAGAAAGAAGAAGGTGGGACTGCTTCTCCAAGGAAATGAAGCTTTAATTGGATCTTGTCCAGTAGGAAGTTACCAAATGAAGAGAGGGATCTGCCCTAGGTAGAAGAGCGTATAGAGAAGCGTGAAAATGTGTGGAAGTATGGCACTTTCAGGGATCCTTGAGTAGTTCAGTATGACAAATACATACCCTGCAGGCAGGGTAGCAGTGAGAAGTGATGCCATACAGGAAAAGAACTTGCATACATCCGAAGGAGTTTGGACTTTATTCCAAGGGCAGTAAAGAAATTCCAGTGAGCGGGTGCCTGGATGGCTCAGTTGTTAAGCGTCTGCCTTTGGCTCGGGTCATGATCCCAGGGTCCTGGGATCAAGTCCCACATCGGGCTCCCTGCTCAGCAGGGAGCCTGCTTCTCCCTCTCCCGCTCCCCCTGCTTGTGTTTCCTCTCTTGCTCTCTCTCTGTCAAATAAATAAAATCTTAAAAAAAAAAAAAAGAAATTCCAGTGAAGGGTGACTAGCTTATACCATTTCTTCCATAATTTAAATTACTTTACTTTTGTTCCTGTTTTTGCCTCTGTGGAGATTCAGGGAATCTCTGATCGCTATTAGAAAATCAGCCGTGTCGCCTGGGTGGCTCAGTCAGTTAAGCATCTGCCTTCGGCTCAGGTCATGATCCTGGGGTCCTGGGATTGAGCCCCATGTTGGGCTCCCTACTCATCGGGGAGTCTGCTTCTCCCTCTTCCGCTCCCCCTGCTCATGCTCTCTCTCTCTCTCAAAGAAATAAATAAAACATTAAAAAAAAAAAAGAAGAAAATCAGTCTTACAGGGGCACCTGGCTGGCTCAGTTGGTAGAGTGTGCAACTCTTGATCGTGGGGTCATGAGTTCGAGCCCCACGTTGGGTGTAGAGCCTACTTAAGATTAAAAAAAAAGAAAGAAAATCAGCTTTACATATATATTAAATTGATTCTCACTCACCTTTCTCTTTCATTTCAGAGTCCTGACATTTGTAGTATCTCACACCTGTCTTTTTTTAACTCTCACAACTGTCTTTTTTTTATTCTCGCAACTGTCTTAATTCTGTCTGTAAGCAAAACAATGAACATATTGTTAACATTGTGGTATCTTAAACTCTGTCAGGCCTCCCCTAAAAACTGGAGTTATTGGTGGTGACTTAGTTCATTCAGCTCAATGACCTGTTTAGTTAGAGACATGTTTAGATTCACTTCACTCCAAGGTAGTTTTGAGTGATTTCCTGGATTTACCATTTAAGGATCTTGCCAGGAAAGAAACTATATGAATGTTTAATCTCTGTCCACATTTGTCCTGTTTGCTTTTGTGTGGTTAGTACTATATGTTGAATATAGTCAAGTGTTGCTTGAAGAAATAAAGTACAATTGCCCCTTTTTCTTTGAATTCCAGGGCTCCAGTACAAGTCATCCACAGATCAGGAGCACCAGTTCTGTCCCTCCTGAGTTTCAGAGATGGATTTATTGCTAGCCACGGTGGGTCCAGGGGCCCCTTGACAAAGATGGCTTCCTGTAGTTCATTTAAACATAGGGTTAGGGGTGCCTGGGTGGCTCAGTCTGTTAAGCATCTGACTCTTGATTTCACTCAGGTTGTGATCTCAGGGTCGTGAGATGGAGCCCCGCATCAGGCTCCATGCTGTGTGGAGCCTACTTAAGATTCTGTCTCGTGGGACACCTGGGTGGCTCAGTTGGTTGAGTGTCTGACTCTTGATTTCGGCTCAGGTCATGATCTTGGGGTTGTGAGAATGAGCCCCGTGTTGGACTCCATGCTGGGCGTGGAGCCTGCTTGAGATTCTCTCTCCCTCTCTCCCTACCCCCCCCTTAAAAAAAAAAAAAAGACTCTTTCTCCCTCTGCCTCTATCCCCGCATCCCACCCCTACTCCCCCATTCATGCCCCCTCTCTCTCTAAAAATAAATAAACATAGGTTTAAATGCGTGATCTATGGTGGGGCTAGGGGCATGGTCCTCCATGATATTTCGGCATATTGTATTTATTATATAGTGTTTATCACTCTACACTGTGATTGTCTATATCTCCCCCCAGTGCAGACTCCTTGTAAAGTAGTGACTGTGCCTTATTCATCGTAATATAACTGTTTTCAGAGGATGAAACTAAGACCAATAAAAGAAAGTTACCAGGAGCCACATTTCAGTTGAATATAAGTAAGAGAGAGCTGGCATTTTAGAGAGCACTACTAACTTGGGATGGAGAAGCATAGGCTGGTTGGCTATTCTGCAAGGTGTTGTGAAGGGAATTTAGTACTAGTTTAGAAGTTGGATATAGATGATCTTTGAGGTCCTTTGGAACTCTTTCACTAGAGAGGAGATTGAAATTGCCAGATTAAACAATTTTGAAACTTTTTATTATGGAAATTGTCAAAGGAGATACAAAGGTAGAGAGAATAGCATAATGAACCTGATATACCCATCATCTAGCTTCAACTATTACCAATTTATAGCTAATCCTGTTTCATCTTGTTTTACACATTCCCTTATAATCCCCAACCATTGTAATATTTTGAAACATATCACAGACATTGTATTATTTCACCTGTCAATATTTCTATAAGTATTTCTAAAAAGTAATAATTCTTTTATTTAAAAGATAATTTTTGGGGTGCCTGGCTGGCTCAGTTGGTAGAACATGCAACTCTTGATCTTGGGTTGTGAGTTTGAGCCCCATGATGAGTGTAGAGATTACTTAATAAAGTGAAATTTAAATAAAAAAAAAGATGATTTTTAATAATAATACGAGAAAGGATAAGGTCTTCCTGTATACTGCTGGTTGGGGTATAGATTAACAGATAAAATAAAATTAATTAACAGTTGTTTTTGACAGCAGTTTTTCAAATTTTAAAAAGCTTGAAAAGGTTAATTAAATTAAAAAAAATTTTTTTCCTGGATTCTTTACAAAGTCACAATGTTGATACAGAAAAACTTTATGCATAAAGATAATTCTTTTATGCAGTATGCTTTCAACCATGTAAAATAAAAATTTGCACAAAAAGGATTGGAAAAATACATAAAAATGTTAACAGTAGTTATCTTTGAGTGGTAGATTGATTTTTTTTTTACTTCTGTTTCTTTGTTTTTAAAGTTTTCTTCAATTAGCATAAACTATTTTTATATTAAGTACAACAATAACAAAAAAAATTATTCAGCAGTTTACAGATCATCCCAAGTCTCATTTGTCCATGGTCTTTTAAGAAAATTAAGTTTAAAAATAAATATACTTTTATTTTCTTGGTGTAACAACTTTGCTCCTTTGCCTCATGTATCTGGTCAAGTTTATAGATTGAAGAATAATTTGGGAGCACATTAAAACATCTATATAGACAATTCCCTGTTAAAAATCATCGTCCAGGGTAAGTTTGCAATCAGATGTATAAGCCTGCGGTTGCTTGCTCCATGCCCTTGGCAGGTATTGCTAATCAAAGACAGCCCTTCTTCCCACTGAGCTTGTACTTGTCCTTCAAATCCTCTAACCCAGCATTCTAGGCAGCCACTGTAGATCCTCATATCTGACCCACATAATGAGACCTGTTTGCCATTTTGGGTCTTGGGATGATCTTCTTTAGGCTCGTGATGTACAGAAATAAACTAAAATACTGATTTTTTTTTTTAAGCCTCTTTGTGTGCAGCTTTTTCTTTAGTTATCTAAATTTTTCTTTTTGACTTTTAGGTGATGGAAGCTGTTTCATTGTCCAGCAAGACCTAGACTATCTCATTGAGCTCACTGGGGCCGACTGTGACCCTGTGTTCAAGGTACAGGCCTGAGAGGCACCTGGGTGATTCTCACCTGAGATCTAGGGCTTTTGAGGGGACTGAATCCAGCTACTTTGTGGGCATTCCGGAAGATATAATACTTACAGATGCGATAAAAGGAAGTGAGAATTTTGAGTCAGAAGTGATTTCACCACTTTTTAGCTCTAGAAACTTGAAAAATCATTTTACCTCCTTAGTCTGTCAATTCTTCTGTAAAATGAAAGTATTAATGAGATAATGTATGTGAAAAATAGTTGTAAATTTTAAGTCTTCTACAAAGATTAGCTGTCATTATTATTATTTAAAGTTCAAGACTGGTTATCTCATTTGATTAGAAAGAGAAAAACAAAAGGGGAAGTAATATTTATTGACTAGACATTGTGCTGGATGTTTTACATGTATCATCTTATTTCATTGTTGTTACTATTCTTGAGGTATAGGTATTATTATTTATATATATATTTTTAAAGATTTTATTTATTTATTTGAGAGAGAGAGAATGAGAGAGAGCACATGAGAGGGGGGAGGGTCAGAGGGAGAAGCAGACTCCCCGCTGAGCAGGGAGCCCGATGCGGGACTCGATCCCGGGACTCCAGGATCATGACCTGAGCCGAAGGCAGTCGCTTAACCAACTGAGCCACCCAGGCGCCCCTTATATTGTTTTTATAATGTAAAAGTTATGCAGCTAATACATACGTATAAAAATTCAAACAATACAAAATTATACAGACTTTAAAGTCCCCTTTAAGACCTTTTTAGTTCCACTCTTCTTTCTAGAAGTAACTAGCATTAACAGTTCAGCATGTATCTTTCAAGACTGTTTTTGGGGCGCCTGGGTGGCTCAGTTGGTTAAGCGATTGCCTTCGGCTCAGGTCGTGATCCTGGAGCCCCGGGGTCGAGTCCCGCATCGGGCTCCCTGCTCGGCAGGGAGTCTGCTTCTCCCTCTGACCCTCCCCCATCTCATGCTCTCTCTATCTCATTCTCTCTCAAATGAATAAATAAAATCTTAAAAAAAAAAAAAAAGACTGTTTTTGGAGCATTTGCTTCATCTTTGTTTTATGTATTTATGTAAATAATATAGTTTTATCTTTAGTTTGTGCATAACTGAAATTCTATATGTATTGTATTGTTCTATGACTTTTTTTATTAACATCTTAGAGCTCTTTTCAGATAAATGCATATAGATCCACTTCATTTCTAAAAATTCCTGCATAGTGTTCTATATTGTGAATTAACATACCATTTTCATTTTATAAGTGAGGAAACTGGAGTCCAGAGTGGTTGAGAAAGTTGCCCTAAGTCATGTAGGTACACATTAGCAAACCTGAGATGAAGCTACCTCCAGAATTCATGCTTCTTCCACTAAATTAGTGGTTCTTAACCTTTGAGTCTCAGGCTTTTTCTTTTCTTTGTTTGAGGGATGATACAGACTTTACTGAATTAGGTTTTTCTATTTAGAACTGAGATCTCATCTACATACTGTTTTGCTGGTCTGCATGAGTACATTAATCCTAATGAGTTTAGATTTATGATGAGTGGGCTCAATCATACAACAACATACACACACACACAAATTGTTTTTAAAAAGTAGCACATATGTTATGTTCCTATAAAGCCAGTTTTTTTTCCTCCCCTTTTTTTAAAATTTTTTTTTATTCTTATGTTAATCCCCATACATTACATCATTAGTTTTAGATGAAGTGTTCCATGATTCATTGTTTGTGCATAACACCCAGTGCTCCATGCAGAATGTGCCCTCCTCAATACCCACCACCAGGCTAACCCATCCTCCCACCCCCCTCCCCAGTTTTTGTTTTTTTTTTTAAGATTTTATTTACTTATTTGACAGAGACAGCGAGAGAGAGAGCATAAGCAGGGGGAGTGGGAGAGGGAGAAGAAGGCTTCCCGCTGAGCAGGGAGCCTGATGCGGGGCTCGATCCTAGGACCCTGGGATCATGACCTGAGCTGAAGGCAAACGCTTAATGACTGAGCCACCCAGGTGCCCCTTTAAAGCCAGTTTTGATTAAAAACCTCTACTTTTCAAAAATCAGTCTTGATTTTGAAGATGAACTGTTTTGGTCATTTTGTACAGTGCTATATTATTGAACTACAATATATGTTTTTTAAAAGGACACTGATGAGGGGTACAATCTGATATTAACTTTAACCTTATCTGGCTTCCCCCTTCTCTCCCCAAAATCCCTTGGCCAAGAGTTCTCCGTTGTGAAGACTGAAAAGACCCAGTGATACTTTGGCAGCAGTCCTGTTACTGCACGGAAGTAACAGAAGCAGGCCCAGGTCCTCACCTCATTCTCCCACACTACGGAACTCACAAATGGTTCCGAAATGAGAACATTCACTGTCGTACCTAAAAACTTAGAGACATGGGGAGTCAGATAGGAGAAGGGAAAAGAAAATCATGGGTGGGCACATGAAGAGCCAAGCTGCTCTGTCCAACACCTGTGTAATGTGTGGTTTAACTACTAAAAGTAAACCTGCTTGATTCACCTTCCAAATCAGAACAAGACTAAAAAGCTCAGAGTTGCGTTTTGTCCTATGCCTAGGTTCTACCAGTGGTGAGGAGCTCAGAAGCAGGATCTCTGCTCCTGCATAATATGCTGCATGCACACAGCATGTCTAGCAGCTGAAGAGCTGCACCTTCCAGCACTGCCCAGATAACATGCACCGTGACTTTTGATCGCTTCTTCACTCCTAGAGCTTCACATCCTTCAGTATGGAGGTCAGAGGAGTGGGCCAGCCTGCCATGATAGCTGCTGGCTGTCTCTCTGATGCAGTTGAGAGGGACACTGTGGTTTTTGGTTTCTTTGAACCAGTCCCTATTATTCCAGTCTGACTAGTTGGTTCCATTGTAGTGTTGGTTCCACTGTAGGTCTTACACACTCTCTGAATGCTCTGATCAACCTCATTTTTCCACCTTTGCTCTGTAAATGTATCCCAAAACCACTACAATAGCTTCTGTAACAAAAACCAAGAGTAGGATGATGACAAACATGGCAAGTCTACAGCAGCTTTTCCAGATTGGGGCACAGTAGCCAGTAAGCCCAAAAGTGGAAAGTGGGGCTCCACAGCGGTGATCATTATGGCAGGGACGAGAGGGTGCGCATCTTCAAAGAAGTGGTCGTAGTCAGCATAAGTGAAGAAGATGTGGGCTCCCACACAGCCTAAAATGCCAGCATGCCAGCTCCCCCGCCACCCTGGAGAGGAGGTTCAGAAACTCCAGGAGTCTTGGGAGGGGGTGATGCCGCGCTGGGCCAGCCATGGTACTGGCAGCCTACTGACACCATGCGCTCACCAAGCAAAGTGGCAGTGGTGGTGGAGCCTCCCCACTGGGAGCTGTGTAGTCTCGGTGCCACCCACCGCAGCCCCTGGTGCCGTCGCGCAGCCCCAGCACGTACCTCGCTCCTCCACGCAGCTGTAGCCTCAGACTTCTCTGAGAAGTCGACGAAATCCTCCTCAGACAGGCACATATTGAGAACTTCTTTGAATATAATTTTACAAGGTTCAGGGATACGCTAGCCCATCTATGGATCATCTCCTTTCCCAGGTCCAGACCCTCGCCCTCAGCTATGCACCACACTAATGGGCCTGCTCTCTACTTGGCTGATTAGTTTCTCTGTTCTGGACTCATAAGTGCCGTGGATCCTAGCCGGCTATACCTACCATGGATCTAATTCTTCTCTTGTCTTTGGAGTCAGCAGAGCTTCTTAGACTCACTTGTACTAATGGGGATCAATGACAAGGCTCTATCTGTTTGAAATGGAAGACTCCCAGGCTTCCTTTGAGCTGTGAACTCTTGTGTTCCAGGTTGCCACATGGGAGAAGCAGATCTACACATGCTGTCGAGATGGTCTTGTGCGACGCTATCAGCTCTCTGATCTCTGACTCCTTGGAAAAGGATTCCCAGTTAATGAAAAAATTGGCCCTAATCGACAAAGAGCAAAATAATCATCAGTCCTTCTCAAGGACCATGGCCCCTTATTGTTTGGGGCACCCTTTGGAAGTCACAGAAAATCAGCTGCATTGGCCCATGTGGAAGTATCATTCCATGAAAAGACCTACAGTAAACTAAAGAAGAAGCTCACACATGCTCCCTATATACCCTCACCCCAACAGCAGGCCATGATATGGATGCTTACAGTTTGATCTCACACCATTGTGTTAAGTGTTTACAATCAGAGGACTAAAGCTTGTTCTCTGAAGGAAATAAAGAGAATGTATTTGGAGTCTGAATTTGAAAAACTTTGTTAAATATTCTTACTCCAGCAAAAAGCCATTCAAGTTGATGGAACTCCTTTCTCAGGCACTTCTGTTGGCCTGGCCACAGAGAAAGACTGCTTGTTAGCAGTAACTATCCCTTAAGCAGCAATCTGGGAAAGGTTCTTATACAGGTAGGGAAGCCAACTGTCTCAGTTTTCCTTGGTCTGAGGGGTTTTCTGCTACATGGGACTTTCAATCCTAGGCAAAGTGATATGGTTGACTGGTCCATGTACGGGTGATAAAGTTGAATCCTGTCATTGTAAAAGCAGTGGCCGTCCGAGTGTGGTCCCTTAACAGCCATATCAGTATCACTTGGGAACTTGTTAGAAATAGAAATTCCTAGGCCCCACCTCAGCCCCAAATCAGAAATTCTCTGGGTAGAGCTGGCCAGGTGATTCTGATGCATGCTACAGTTTGAGACCTAGAGGAAGAGATAGTAAAGGGCATTTTAAGTCATAGTTGGAACCCAGTGCTCATAGGATGGTGAGGCTGGTCTTTAGAAGATGAGGCTGGAGAGGTTGGCAGGGTCCAAATAGTGAAGGTGCTTGAGTACCAGGTAAGGAGCCTGAATTTCATTTGGTTGGCAAGAAACCCACGGAAGAGTTTTAAGCAAGGGTATAACATGGTCACCTCTTTTTTTTCCCCTAAATATAAGAGTCATAATGCACGTACTACGTGTTTTATTTTCACTTAGAATCTCTTGAGTTCTTTCTTTCTCAGTACATTTAGACCTTCATTGTTCTTTTTAACACTTTCCAGAGTTTTATATTTTAGAGATTACTAGAGAAAGGGTTTCTTGGATGATACAGCACTTGAGCTGAGCAATGTAGGCTAAGGTCTGGATTTATTTAAGGGAAGAAGTCAATTTCTTGCTGGGGTAACAGTATGATTCGCAGCAGTCTTAAAGGTATATTCTCACGTAATGTTTATAACCTCACTATGATATGCAGATAGTGAGACTCAGATGAATTGATTGGCCAAGGGTCATAAGGAACAGAAACTTTAACACAGTTTATCTTAATTTTAAATCCATTTTTTTCTACCTGTTGTATATGCCTAAATTGTGAAAACAAAATACTGTTAGTCATTGAGTATTACTGGGCATCTATGCTATACAAGGGACTATATTTATATATTTAATCCCAACAACACTCTTAAAAAGGATATGGAATTATTTTGTTTTATAGATAAGGAAACCGAGGTTTGAGAAATTAAGTACCAGACCCTTGATTTGGACCTTGCTTAGTCTCCAAGACCTGTGCCTTCCACTACACCACATGGTCATGAGACCTCTGGGACTAGACCAGTTCCATTTAAGGGGTGATTTGTGATAAGGTCAGGTAGACCCAAAGGGACATATTGCAGAGCTCAGAAATATTGGATCCGAGGAGGTCTGGAGAGAACCTCTAAGAAGTCAGATGAAGGGCGCCTGGGTGGCTCAGTTGGTTAAGCGACTGCCTTCAGCTCAGGTCATGATCCTGGAGTCCCGGGATCGAGTCCCGCATCCCGCATCGGGCTCCCTGCTCAGCAGGGAGTCTGCTTCTCCCTCTGCCCCTCCCCCCTCTCATGTGCTCTCTCTCATTCTCTCTCTCTGAAATAAATAAATAAAATCTTTAAAAAAAAAAAGTCAGATGAAGAAGACAGGATGAAGGAGGATATGGCTGAGTTCACACAGCAGGTATGTCTGTGAGTTCCTCTTCAAGGACTCGCTCTTCACTGCCATCACATCCATAAGCCCCTTTTCATAGGTCTCCAGCGTTGGTACGCCTGGTTGTAATGGATGCAGTGACCCTTGACAGCTGCCCTGAAATCCAGATCCAAACAGAAGGACACAGGCTAGCTCTCAGGTGGCCCAAAGCCTTGTCTGCTGTGGATGGAATCTCCCCAGTGTTAGCAGATAAAGCTTTTTTTTCCCCCTTTTGGGTGGAGGAGTGCATTCTGGGTGAGGAAGGGTGGTCAACCCCCATCTGCAGCAGTACAGGCTCAGGCAAGCTGGACTTTGTTTCTTGGCTTTCAGACGCCCCCTGGTGACTTCTTGTGAGAAGTGCGTCTATTTCTCAGATCTGGAAACTGGCAGTGGCATCCACCACCAGTGAGCATATGCTCCGTGCTGGGCACAGTCCTCACAATAGCCTTGCAGAGTAAAGATTTCTTTTTCTTGAACATGTCTCTTTGTGGATATATTTTATATTTTTATTCTTAATTTTTCTTTTTTTTTTTTAAGATTTTATTTATTAGAGAGAGAGTGAGTGAGAGAGAGCATTAGCAGGGCAAGGGGCAGAGGGAGAGGGAGAAGCAGACTCTCTGCTGAGTAGGGAGCCTGACGTGGGACTCGACCCCAGGACCCTGGGATCATGACCTGAGCCAAAGGCAGACGCTTAACTGACTGAGCCACCGAGGCATCTGGATCTTATGTCCTTTTGACACGTTAATAGCATTCTTTTAGTGCTTCCATATTTTCTGATACCACAAGATATTCAAGTTTCATCTTATACTTTCCCATCTCAGTCCTGGAATCAGTCATTTGTCTAGATAGCTCCGGTTCCTTTTAGTGGAGCATGGCATTTGGATATCAAGATCTGGGCACTCTATGTATACTCTTTACTACTAGGATGTTATTGTTTCTAGGCCCTATCAGTGGACAGTATTCTGATACGGAATTTCCATTTTTACATCCCTCATTCTATATATATATTAAAAATTATGGGTTCACACTGAAGTCCCCTAATTCCAATCCAACTCCACTGAGATTATTCTAGCCTTCTGAATATAAATCTCCTTCCTCCAACAGTGAGAAACTCAGCTGCCATAATTCTCAATATTTCACTTGCTCAGTACCTCTGTGAGTGAACAGTCTGGCAACCACACAGGCCATCTTCCCTTTTACCCCAGCCCCTGCACACGTGCTGTACCTCAGCTAGAGTCTCCTTGTTCCTGTGTTCAGCTCAGCCAGTCCCATGCTGAACAAGGCCTTCCCCTAACCCTCTGGGTTTAATTTTTAATAACATTTTTTTCTGGTAATAAGTAAAAAAAAAGAAGGCCAATATACATGAAAAGACGCTCAATTCCTGTAGTTAAATGCAAATTAAAACCCACAAGAAAGCTCAGAAATGCAAAAAATAGAAAATAATGCCATATTTTCACTTTACAAATAGGCAACTGTGGCTAAGAAATCATTTTTTAAGGTCATAAAACTAGTAGATAACAGATAGGATTTGGAACTTGGGCTCTGACTACTGCCTCAATGCTAAGGATGCATTTTCTATGTGATATACATGCTTTTGTATAATTGTATTTAATATTTTCACACCTGCCCTGTGGTGGGGTTTATGTTAATAATCCCATTTATTCAAGGAAACGGACTTGGGGCCATTAAGTAAACTTGCTTCGGTCATGCAAATGGGAAGTGAGCACAGCATGGTTGCTTTCTGACCAACTTTTTTTTTTTTTAACTTTATTTAAAAAACCTTCAGTGCAATATTAAAAAGCAATACGGCCAGCTGGAGTGACAACAACAGAAAGAAAGGAGAGGGTTAGGGAAGACACAGGGACCCCACTCCAGCTGCTCCCAGGGCCGGAGGCCAGGGGCAGACCTGGTTAGGGCATGGGTGGTGGGGGAGAGAGGAAAGGCCACCCACCAAAATGAACAAGCAGAACAAAACATATAGGAAATATCTGGCTGAACTGAAGAAGATCTAGGGGAGATGGGAAGCCCCCGTTTTTTCCCCCAAATGTCCTAGACCTGGGGGGGGTTGGCCTCCTGGGGTGCAATGAGCAGGCCCTGTCCCACCCCACACTCCTCTATCAAGGAGTACAGGATGTGCTGGGGGCCAAATGTGTGTATGCTGGGGAAACACAGGGAAGAGATGAGTAGGAAGGAAAGCCCCTCACTGGAATATGTTATGAGGGCTGAGGGTGTCCCCCTCTAGCTCCTGGACTCTGGGGGTCTTGGGGAGATGGGGGCTGGAATGGGTTGGGGCAGGGGGGAAGGCTGGGTGCTCAGCCTAGAAAGCCATCGGGGTCCTCAAAGTGGCCTTGCTGCAGCACGTTGATGTAGTGCTGGATGGACAGGCCAGTCAGCATATCAGTGCGCTGCATGAGCAGTAAAGACTGGTCATTGATTTCCTGCTCTTGAAAAGCTGTTGCCTGCTCGGGGAAGCCAGCCTCAGTGAAATACTCAACCACGTCTATCATAGTCCACTCCAGAGGCTCAGCCGGCTTCCCTCTGTGCCCAGGACAGCCAAAGAGGGTTCCATCGGCCCCAGGTAGGGCTGGTTTTCCTGGCTGACCACTCAACTTACCCCAAACCTGCAGTTTACTTCTTAGCTCTAATTGAGTTCTCTGTCATTTGGCCCAACTCCAGAAGTGTGTTTTAACTCCTCCAAATATACCTAAAGTAGGCCTCAAATAATATAAAATAGCGACTTTAAAGCAGGTCTTCCTCTATAATAGTGTGGTTTCAGAGGACCCAGGAAATTTCTTAAATATCTCAGTCACTAGTATCTGAAATGCCATCAAGGGACCCAGCGTTTTCATTCACAGAGATGAGGTTTAAAATGTAGCCCTCTTCTTTCCCCATCTGACTGACATTAGATCCTTTCTTTTCTCTCTCTTTTTTTTAAGAGGGGAGGGAGGGAGAGGGGGAGAGAGATAATCTTTTTTTTTAAGATGTATTTATTTATTTTAGACAGGGGGTGGGGAGGGAGAGGGAGAGAAAAATTCAAGTTTCAAGCCCAACTCGGGGCTCAATCTCACCACCTGAGATCACGATCTGAGCCAAAACCAAGAGTTGGACGCTTAACTGACTGGACCACCCAGGTACCCCGAGAGAGAGAGAATCTTAAGCAGGCTCCATGTCCAGGGTGGAGCCCAATTCAGGGCTCGATCTCAGGATCCCAAGATCAAAACCTGAGCCGAAATCAAGAGTCAGACATTTAACCCACTGAGCCATCCAGGTGCCCCTAGATCCTTTCTTAAGAACACATTTACAGGGCGCCTGGGTGGCTCAGTCATTAAGCGTCTGCCTTGGGCTCAGGTCATGATCCCACTCCCCCTGCTTGTGTTCCTGCTCTTGCTATCTGTCTCTGTCAAGTAAATAAATAAAATCTTTTTATTTTTTTTTTAAGATTTTATTTATTTATTTCAGAGAGAGAGAATGAGAGAGAGCACATGAGAGGGGGGAGGGTCAGAGGGAGAAGCAGACTCCCCGCTGAGCAGGGAGCCCGATGTGGGACTCGATCCCGGGACTCCAGGATCATGACCTGAGCCGAAGGCAGTCGCTTAACCAACTGAGCCACCCAGGCGCCCAATAAATAAAATCTTTAAAAAAAAAAAAAAGAAAGAATTTACATTTGAGAGGAATAAAGGAGTAGTACTTAGAAAAGATGCTCCTGAAGAAGGAGGAGGAGGAGAAAAGGAAGGGTTACAGTGTGGCATTGGCAGGGAAAGACCAGTGGAACAGTAGTCCAGATAAAAACCCACGCATATATGGAAACTTTATATGTAACACAGCAGTCAATACAGATTGGTAGGGAAACAAAGGACTGTTAAATAAATGGTTCTGGGACAATAGGATATCAAAAATAAGAAAATGATGCTACCTTGTACCATATTAAAAAAAAAGTTCTAGGTGGATTAAAGGCTTAAGAGTGAAATGGACTCTCAAGAAAATATAGGTGAAGATCTTTATGACCCTCTACAGAGAATATTTCTTAAACTAGACACAAAAAGTATAACCAAAAAGGAAAAGATTGGTTAAGTTCTACCCCATTAAAAAAAATGGTAAAAACACAAGCTCCAAAGTGAAAGGGGTTTGTATTTTATATATTTTCAACAAAGAAATATAAAACATAAAGAGTCTCTCTCTCTCTCTCTCTCTCTCTCTCTCTCACACACACACACACACACACACACACACACACAGAGCCCAGTAGAAAAATGGTCAAAAGAGGGGCGCCTGGTGGCTTAGTCGGTTAAGCATCTGCCTTCGGCTCAGGTCATGATCTGAGGGTCCTGGGATCGAGTCCCGCATTGGGCTCCCTGCTCAGTGGGGAGCCTGCTTCTCCCTCTGCCTCTCTCTCTCTGTCTCTTAGGAATAAATAAATCTCAAAAAAAAAAAAAGTTATAAAAAAAAATTTGGCATCAGTGGTGCCTGGCTGGTTCGGTGGGTAGAGCATGCAATTCTTGATCTCAGGGTTGTGAGTTCAAGCCCCACGTTGGGCATGGAGCCTACTTAAAATACATACACACACACACACACACGTATATGTGTATATGTATACATGTATACATGTACTTTAAAAGAAAATTAAGAACTTGACATCAAGAATTGGTGAGGATGTAAAGCAAAAGGGATCTCTCAGACAATGCTGTTTTGCCATCGTAATTTAGAATAACCACATCAGAAAACTGACATTACCTTGCAAAGTTGATGCACATACCCAAATGTTCAGCATCAACAGAGAATGCTATACAGCCTCTGTGCAAATAAGTCACACACACAAATACATACCATTTGCATAACTGATTCCATTTATATAAAGTTCAAAACCATG